ACTCGACCTGCCGTGTCGGCTCAGACGGCGCAAATGAACCCTCCACCTCGACCTCAGTCGGCCGTCCAAAACGCAATCACTCAGCCAATGGCTCGACAAGGGAGCAAAGATAACGACAACAGCAGGAAGAACTCGCAGGATGGTTCGGCCTTACCCTCTACTGCAAGCTGGGCAACTGCAAATGCTTCTGTGGCGCGGACGAGACGTGCCAGCCAAACCAACAGCAGGGCTACTCCTAGTCCCCAAACGACCCATGCTTCACTCACTGCCCAGAAGCCAGACGAACACAAAGCCAAGGAGGCTCCTGTCAGCCAGCCATCTAGCTCGACCGCTCCTCCGAAGACGGCATCCAGACCAGACCAGACAGTTTCCAAACCAAAACCAAAACCACAACCGCTGGACCCGATACAAAAACAATACGAGGATGTACTGCGAGTTGTATCTCGGAGTTACCGATTCATTTACGACGACTCATGTCTCAGTCCAGAAGCTCGCGCTGCAGTAGATGACATGCCCTGTTTTATCGATCCTTATGGTGGTGCCAAACGCCGCGCCATGCGAGAAAGGGAAGAAGCCGAGCGCGCAAAGCTAGAGGCCGAAGCAAAAGCCAAACTGGAAGCTCAGGCCACTTCAGCTGTGGAAGAGACATTGGATGAAGACAACGTCGTTGCAGGTAGCCTCGCCCTCGGTGGTGAACCGGAAGACGATCCGAGAGGCTCTTCAGCACGGGGAGCTATTGGACGCCCGTCGCAGTCCCTGAACGACCAATTTTCGTCAATGAGTTTGAATTCTCGCAGCTTGACGCCTCAACAACGACAACAACTGGCTCTTCTCAGCACCAGCAATCTACCACAAGCGCCTGGTCTTGGTCAACCAAGTACCCAGAACACTGCTTTCGAGATGTCAGACTTTGATAGACGAGGACCACAGTACAGCCAAGCCCAGTACGAACAGATTAGCAGTCACCAACGCCACGGTTCCAGATACTTCAACAATGAGACAAAGGCCGGCACGGCCAGTCGCTTCCAAGGACAGCAGCAGAGCTTCTACTCTAGTGGAGTTCAAGGACCTCCTCCTGGCTTGCCAACTGCGGGGACTCCTCCGGTCAGTGGTGGTGGAATGTTCGCTCATGGCCAGAATTTCACCAACCCTGGTTTTGGAACTTCCAAAGACATCAACGCGGAAGCCTATTCGAGGAATCGGAGTGGAACGAATCAAGGTCATGAAATGTCTAAGCGTGAGTTGCTCCTTTCCTTGCAAAATAACCCCCTTCGGTCACCCCCACTGTCAGCCCCTGCCCCTGGCGTCCTCAACCCGCTCTACGCTCAGTATCAGACATACCAAGATCCTGGGCTTGTCAAGCAAAGGAAAAAGGGCAAGAAGCACAGACACGCTAACACTTCCTCTTCAGGAGGTGGTGTAGAGCATCTTGCAGACCCGAGTATTGCGTCAGCGAGAGTCCACCAGGGCAATGCGACAGGGCAGGGGCTGTTTGGGGGTAATCAAGGTGGGTACCAGCAATCGAACCTATACGGCGGCGGCGGGTACAATCGATGGTGATCAACGACATTCCGACCACAATATTTCAATGCCCTTTTCTTTTTCTTCTGTCTTTTTTATGATGGGTTTTGTTTGGCGTTGGTGGTACGAGGCCTACCTATTCGGATCGGCGAGCAATGCATAAGTCAGTAGCTGAATGGCGAAAGCTTAGTGGAGTAACGGCATGGTCACAGTCATGGTCCCGGGCGAGCGTGGGACGCATCGAAAAATCAATCTATCGGCATCAGGCTTTTCCTTCAGCGGCATCAATCGTCCCATTTTCACGGCTCTGTTATGTATGTTAGTGCCCTTCCCTGACCATGTTACAAAAAGGTCAGGCAGATCAGAAAACAATTTCTTACAATTCATTTTAGGTGCAACGTTCTAGAGACAGTAAAACCTGTGCTGAGGGATCTGATGATGCAAAAAGCCTGATTGTCTTTGCCTGTACCTTTGAGCCCGTATCATGTACCCGCCGCTGTGCTGTCTGATGGTGGTTCTGACTGTGTTCTTTCTGGTTTTATCTGTTGCCTGGATTCTTCGCTAACTATGTCATTGCAGTGGATGAGAAGAACTTCCCGCCTCTGCCGACTCGCTCAGATACACAGCCTCCACCTTTGCATTCCCGCGTCTCGTCCTTTCAGAGTCACTACAGCTCGGGTCTACGGTCATCAACACCGAAGGTCCCTCCAGGTTTTGAACTCAGTCATGGACATCCGGTTCTCCATAGGCATGCGTCTCCTCCCCTGCCTGTCCAGGTAATTGGGCAACGAAGCTCGTCGACCGGTTCTGTACCCATCGCTCCAGTTGTGCCAATCGTACCGATAGGCCATCGCGCGTCAACTCCAAAATCGAAGGCCTCCGAGTCACTGAAAGAAGACAGCAAGCCCACGCCAGCTGACGAAGCACCTATCTCGAGCAAGAAGCCTAGCAGTGGAGTGACTGAGATTAGTTTGGGCTCTCCTAAATCGAAGTCAATCCGTCAAAAACCTGAGACTGAGAAGAAGCCGGATATTGGGGGAAAGGCTGACGAGAAGACTGAGAAGAAAGATGAAGCTCGACCTCTTTCGAAGGCTGATGACCCTCGGAGCAAAGGGAAAGCCCCGGCAGTGAAACCTGGGAAGATAGAATTACCTCAAAGAACCGCCTCGGATGTCCCAACCAACCCGCCGCTACCATCCGTCAACACTGCTGGCTTGGACAAATCTGCAACACCAATTCTGGACTCGGCGGTTGTTGGCACACCAGGGACAATGAGCCCCCGACCGATCACTCCTGTCACTACCACTCCATCAGAGACATCCAAGACGTCGATACCTCGACCAAGGACGCTCCGCGTAACGACTGGAATTGTCACAAAAACGCTCGAGCAGACTCCTGCATCGGCAACGACTGAGAAATCGAGCGCCGTGCCTCCCATCTCAGCCATCAAGAAAGGGTCCAGACGACCATCTCTCTCTTCGGCTCAGCTTAGTAGGCCATCAACGCCAGCAATGTCAGAGCGCCCTTCTCACGACGCTTCTCGCGCCAGCTCTCCTCCACCAAGTATCGTTGGTTCTGCTCCGGAGCGAGCCAAGAGCAAGGCTCAACTAAAGAAAGAAAGACGAGAGAAGGCTAAGAAGACAACCGAGACCAATGACACCGTCGCAAGTGCTGCCAGCACACCAGTAGTGGAAGAGGTTGCACCTGTCATTGCTCGGCAAAAGAAACAGAAGAAACAGCGAGTGGAGAGTAGCACGGCAGCTAGTGGCGACGAGAAAGCGAAGGTCAAGGCAGAAGGTGCCAGCACGAAGCTACAGGAAACAGTCCAGAAACAAGACGTTGAAACTTCTGGGGACAAGTTAGAGCCAAAGAAGACGGAGGAGAAAGACAAGGCCGCATTTTCCGCTTCGAAGCTGGCCGAAAAATCTGCAAGCCAGCCTCAGAAACCAGACACCCCTCGAACGGCAACACCAAAGGAAGAGCCTGCGCGAAAAGTCGAAGAGGCCAATGGTGCGTACACGATGCGTGACCTGTTAAACGAAGCCGAGAAGATGGCTGCGGCCAGTGACGGTCCCTCGACACATGCAGCCATGCAAAAACTTCTCAACGAGCATATTTCATCCATGCCTAAGATTTTCTCTTCACTCATCCAAACGGGCGACCTCTCTAGAGATCATCCGTGGCTGAACCCGCCGTCTTTCAACTCTGCCGCGTACAAATTACCGCCAGACTCCCGACGTGGTCAAGAGTATCTGGACGGGAACGGATATAGTGCCAACGATGCGTTTGGCTATATCTACCTTCCACTCAAAGAGAAGCAAGCATTGAAGGATGGCAATGCGGTGAGTGTTGCTGACGCAGGGGAGCGAAAAGATGATCTATTGAAGAGATGTTTGGTGACGCCTAATGGATGGGTCTTGAGGCATCTCAGCGCCGACGAGGGTGAAAAGGTCCTCGAGCTCGAGGAAAGACGACAGATATATCTCGAGGAATTTGGAGATATAGGCACAATGGCTGGTTTAGGTGTGCTCGAAGCCGATGATTACACGAACCTCGGAGGCGGGATAGAGAGGCTTGCCAAACGGGGTGAGCGCCACGGCGTGGTTTGGATTATGGGCGAGGATGGCGAGATGGCCGAAGACGACGAGTTTGAGCCATTCGATGATGAAGACGGCGGGATTGATGGTGAGATCGGCGATAGCGACGGAGAAGGTGAGGAGGAGTTTCTCGAGGGAGAAGGCTTGGATGACGAAGGCGAGGAAGGTTTTGAGGCCGACGGCCAGGTGAATATGCCTGGTGGTTGGGATCTCTCACCTCGAGATTCTCATCATGCTGCTAGAGTCGGTTCCGGCGGACGGATTAACTCTCTTCCAGGCCTGGGCCCGCATTCGAGGACGAATGCTCTTCGCTTGCCTTCAAGAGGTCCACCGATCGGTCCAGAGGATCCTTCTCAACAGGACAATCGTGTTGCTGCTGGTCCGAGCACGGCTCCCCGGAACGCAGATAAGAATCCTCCCATGGCATCGGCCACTGCGACCGCAACAAATGCCACACCAGCAGAAAATGTCAACGTTCGCCTTCTCGACGCCGATGCGCTGCAAAAACGCGTCCAAGAATCACAAAAGGCACTCGAGGTCGCCCGCAAGGAGATGGAGAAAGCCGAGAAACTTTGGAACAAGAAAGCAAAGGATATCGGACGGTGGAGAGATGGCCTCATCGGGTCGTTGGGTGTGAAGGGCTAGGAGATTCCTTCGGCATCCCCAGGCGCAGCAGCCCCGGCAACTTCGAGAAGAGGGAAAGCAAAGACCAAAGCAAAAGACAAGGGGAAAGCAAAAGCGACCGCTGACGAGCAGCAATTGGACTCATTCAAGGAATTCGAGTTCGAATTGCCCCAGCCAGAGCCATTATCACCGCGCTTCCTCGATTTCTTCGACACCGATACGGATGGCCCATCCAAATCTATGTGGTATGATGGTCCCATGATCACCGACAACCTTCAGGTTAACCATTTATTAAACGGTTCTGCACGGACCAGATCAACCTTGACTGACCGAGAAAGGGAGATGATTTTAATTCTGAGGAACGCTGCCTTCTTCGATCGTCAGGTTCTTCAGAGAAAGATCTTCGTGGTTGAGGAATGGGATTGGCGCTATCGCGACGCACAACTACGTGACACTGCCCCGGTGGTCGCATTGCGTGGACCGGATCGCCTGGTTCAATACATTGCTGCTGCGGCCGCAGCCTTGGATGGCATTGACGTTGCCGACTTCAGAAGTGACGTTGAACCCAGGAGGAGAATGCGAGACTGGCTCATCATCACCAAGAAAGTCCCCAGACCGTGGGAAAGCAGAAGGAGCCTTCTCCCATCACCCGCGCCGTCCAACGTCCCCCAACCGCCACGCGAACTCTGGCATCTCCTCGGATCTTTCGGGGTTGGTGGTCCTAAAGCCAGGTTGAGGAAGGTGAATCGCAAGGAAAAGATGGCCCTCATCTTCATGCGAGAACTCTTACGTGTCAGGTACGAGTTGGGCCAAAAGGGCATCCTGACACCCGAGCACTACCACACGACGCAACGGAGAACCGACCTTTGGGACTGGGCGATCAACTGGTACGACGGCTTGCTCAGGTTTTTGCAGTTTCAGAACGGCTTGAAGATTGAGGGATACCTGAATAATCCTCTATGATAATGGCGATGATGATGGAGTTTCGGGACATGTGGAAATGCTGCATGATGGAAGGGTATGCACATGGGTATGGGTATTAGTATTGGTATTGGTGCGGATACCATGGTAATTCTCGGCTTCATTGCTTCCATTACAGAGCGAGCATTGTGGTGGCTTTTGCATGTTATTCAACTCCTGTCCAGGGTATGGTATGGTATCGCTACTGAGCATATGGTATGGATATCCATTCGCTCTCACGCAATTCATCAAATCAAATCCCCTCTCCGTACAATAAGGTCCTTTGCGTCTGTCCCCTGATTGTCTAAACTCACTCCGCTCTGTGTCGAACTCGAGCTCAAGATCACACTTGTCCGCATCGATTGTCCTACTTACTCCGTAGACATTAGGCGCCATACACTCCTTCATTCTTCCTTTCTTACATAGCAGTCAATTCTCCTAATAAGACATCAGCACATCTGTCCCGTCCCGTCCCGTCCCACCGCATCCTAGTCGAGGTCGACGACAACACTTGCTACGCAAAATGAATTCTTTGATTCTCTCAATCACGGAGACCGACTGTCTAGCCCTGAGCGGTTGCGTCTGTCTCACATTCTCACAGCTGAATCTCCGAGAGAAATCAAAGCACCGTCTTCCTTCTAGCACTTTCTGCCATCTGGCCGTTGTCGCTGCCGGTCATAGATTGTTTCAAAGGGATGGATTGAGCGGGTGTCATAGCCGAAGAAGCTTGCTCAAGGAATGTTTTCACGCGCTGGATCTCGTTCCAGTCGGACGGATCGATCCTCAGGAAAGTGACGCTGTATTTCCCCGCCGCCGCCGCTGGGAGAAAAGTTTTGTGCACGCCAGGACTTGATGATGACGACGGCACGAGCGCATTTGTTGTCAGAGCGGCCAATGCGTCGAAGGTGGATCGTTGAGAGATCCGCACAGTGGCGCGCACGACGCTGCCGACATTTGGCAACGATCTCGGGGAAGGGGCGGATCTCGTCATGGCCGACGTTGCTTGAGGAACAAGGGCACCGGTGAGATAGGGCGGCTGGTCTGGAAAGAACATATCCGCGAGTGTCACTGTTCCAATCGTTCCGGTGTCTTGGGTGGAGTGCAGGATGGCGTAGATATGAAGACCCAGAAACATGGGATTGCTGCTGGTCTCGTTGCTCGCCTCGGTCTGGGCTGGAGCTGTTGGTCCTAACGAAGAGAAGGTGAAAGAGACATAGCGACGGGCCTCGGCAATACGAAAGCAGATCGGGAGGGGATACAGAGGAGAGAACACTGCGAGCGGTCCTGTGGACGACGTGGCGACTGATGAACGGGAAGGAGGAAGGAAGGATCGAACGAGCGGCTTCATTGATGCTTTGGGTGTCCAGGCTGTCGAAATGGCTTTCATAGCTGAGGGTGCCTTTTCAGGGGACTTGTAAGGTTCCAGCCGTTGGGCTGATGTGGCAGTTGGATATGGATGTGTTGTCTTTGCAGCCAGCGCCCTTTCAGCTTCAAGAAAGTTCTCAATGTCAATGCTGTCATCATTGAAGAGATCTTCATCTTGGTTGTCCTTGCTGGAAGCGTCGGCGGCGACAGGAACGGCGCCCTTTGCAGCGCTTCTCATGACTAGTGCTTTCTTTACCGGAAGGTCCTCGGTGTCGGCAGCAAACGTCTCTGAAGATGTCCGTTTTCGCCCTGCTGCAGCAATGTTGAGCTTGTTCAACCCGATCGGCAGGAGACTCTCATGGGTCTCGTGTCGGAGAGGGCTCGACAGTTCGTCGGCTCCAAAAGCCTTTGCAGAGAGGTTCTGCTTCTCATCCGGGAGCATTACACTGTGTTGGGCGTATTCAGAACTGGAGGTTGCAAGTCGCTTGCGTGACGAAGGCGGTGTCGGGGCTTTCCGCTTCTTTGTTGCCCTTAGACGTTCCTTTATGCGCAGGGCTGAGCAGAGGATTCGCTCGCGGACATGGCTTGCAAATGGAGAGAATCCTTCGCTATCATCGATGTCCGATTGAGATGATGATCGAGAGGGAAGAGCAGCCGCGACGGGCTCGGATGGCGGATTGATGGGTGTCCAGTTGTTTTGCCTACTGTTGTTAGAAGTGTTCCTATAATGCATTGGGCTGGTAACACGCCTACCAGACTGTCAATTTTGCCTGAACATCGACCGCGGATTCGAGCTCATTCAGTTCGCTGCTGGACACCCAGCTCAATTCTGACGGTGGGGAGCTCATTACGAATGCCTTGACCTGGACACACTTCCAAGAACCAAAGATCGCAAAAACGATCTCGGAGAAGACAACTCGAGGTCCTAAGAATGGAAATATTGAAGGGGACGAGCCACGAAGCATGGAGCATGGAGCATGGAGTGGGTGTCAGTGTGAGAACAGCGCGACTCAGTGGTGAGATGAAAGAAACCTGTAAGGCACAACGGATGATTTTGACAACAAGGCTGTCGCCGGTGAGGAAGCAAGACCAGCCGGAAGTGATAAGTTTTTGTCTCCAGTGTGCAGGAGACATTATTGATCACTGCAGGGTTCATTCACGGGATGTCGACCTTTCACGACTAGCTTGTTTGCGCTGTACATGTGGATTGAGGGGGATGGGAACCTGGGTGAGGCAGTCGATATTGAGAACCATAATGGCAGTACTGCAGTCTGCCCCTGCCCCAGTGGCAATCACCAGCCATTGTACGAACCGAGTGCATAGCTACCTGGGTCCATAGCACATAGTGTGATCTCTGTGTGAAGACAGGAACACCAACCTTTGTCGAGTGTACACATGTCGTGTCGGTGATGGAGCGGGAAGAAGCGAAGACGAGTTGAGCGAGTTTGCGTTCGTTCCGCCATATCAAAGTGACTAGCCGAATGGGGCTAGCGCATGTTTATTGTTCTGAATATGGAATCGACCGCCCTTCACAATTTATCCTGTGCACTGAACTGCGTCGAATGGTGTTTACCTAGGTAGCAAGAGACACACCCCTACCAACAATGTCGTATGCAATCGAGACAAAGAAGCGCAAGTTCGATCGCATCCTCGAGGCTCTGACCGACAGTGCCAGTGCCACCTCTGCTCCCCCCTCGCTCTCGCACTCCTCGGTTAACAACTCCACCACCTCACTTTCTCTATATGCCGCTTCCGATTCCTCCAAGAGACGCCGCATCACTCCCACGTCCAAAACAGCAACAACGCATACCTCGACGCCAATCGCACTGAGCGGACACTATCTCCCATCAAGCCGAGCTGCTTTTCTCCAGCGACTGGAGACATTCCGACATGTCACTCAGTGGCATATCCCATCCACGGACCCCATCAACGCTGCCGCGTGGGCACAAAGAGGTTGGACTTGTGTCGACACAGACACCGTAGCATGTGGTGTTTGCAAGGAGAGGTTGTATGTTGACCTAAATCTAGACAAGGAGTTGCTCAAGTTATCAGAAAAGAGCGGCGGTGATGATGCAGATGAGGAAGACAGCTTCACCATCTCGTCCGAGATCTACGGCAGCATTGTCAAAAAATACCAGGACATGATTGTCACAGCGCACGCAGAAAGTTGTCTCTGGCGAAAGCGAGGTTGTGATTCATCAATTCAGCGCATCGAAGGGCTCTTGAACACAGCCCTGGCGCTGTCAGCTCTGAAAACTCGCTACGACAGTCTTAGCAGCCGCTCTGACGAAATACCCCGAGTCGAGCCTCTACCCTCAACTCCTCTGGTGGATCCTCAAGAGTTGGAACAATTTCGTCTCAGCGAGCAAGAAAGACCTCACATCGACGCCCTTAGACTGGCGGTCTGTGGCTGGGAGAGGAAATGTGAGGATGTCATTGAATGCCATCACTGTTTCCGGTCACTGGGTCTCTGGTTGTATCGCGGCGAATCACCTGCGATTGAGAAATTGGACGCCATAGATAATCATCTGGAATATTGTCCGTGGAGGTCGGCCGAGGCTCAAGACACGGAGCTCCAAACGGGGCACGCCAGAACCACGACTTCGGGGGAGGAAATTGTGCCGAAGAAAGAGCGAGTGGCAGGTTGGGTGCTAGTGTATCAAGCAATCACGAAGGACAATAAGCAGAAGAAAGCATCAAAAGGAACGCGTTCAACCGCAGCCTCGGAGGCAGTAGTGGACGCAACGAGCAGCGAATCGACGACGCCAGAGCAACGCGAGAAGAAAATGAAAGAATTACTACGGAGGATCAAGGAGATCAAGAAACCTTTCAACGTCAAAGCCTTGCTGAAGCGCAAGGACAAGCCCAAGGCCTGACCGTTCCTCGGCGTCCCGAGATAAATGGCGCATTTTACTCGGGCTGGGATAGGATAGGATCCGAAAGTTGTCCTATCCGGGATGGTGCCCGGCTAGAGCCAGTGATACTCAAAGGCATTGAGAGAGGTCTCGACCACAGCTTTCGGGAGCAAGGCCGGATGTCAGTAGTCCAAGTACAATGGATGGGCGGCCGGAAGCCGCTCGGAAAATGTCGGAAAATGGGCTAGCCCCCTGGTGGAGGGCCAGGGGCGGAAGTGGCAGTTGTCCAAGCACCGACGATTCATCATGAAGTGTGGTCGTATGGTGAGACGAGGCTGAGGCTGAGGTTATGATTGATATCCTGGATAATGGGAATAGTTTGCCCTGTGTTGGTGTGTCTCGGGACTGTCAGGTACCAGTGTCGAGTCAGGCACTGAGACGGGTGCTGGCGAAAAGAGTGCCCGCAGCTGTGTGCCAGGCGTCCAGCAGTAACGGTGGGTAGGCTTAATTATTAGCCTTCCCCAGATTTACATTGGGCGGCCGGCTAGGCGACTTTCAGCAGGACGAGGGGCAGAAGTTAGGCGGCAAAGGCCCAAGGGTGGCCGAGGTTTTGGAACCAAGTGGGGAGCCACAACAATGACATCAACAGGCCAATGCGTACGAGTCTCTACTGGTACAAGGAAGGAAATAATCCGAGTCTTCCCGGGAGTAGCCCTCTGTTGGGGGTTGTTCGCCACTTGGCGGTCTCCCAGTGAGAGGAAGGGGGGACAGCAAGCAATATCCGAGCGGTTTTGCACAATTGGTTGGGGGGGGGGCGGGGGAACCAAGGTGGTGAGAAGTGGTGGTGGTGATGGTGGTTGTGGTTAGCGGTGCAACGGGGGACCAGGGACCACGTCAGGCATCAGGCGAGTGCAGTTCAACACAGAAACAAGGCTCTTGGGGCATGACATGCTATGGCTTTTGCTGGCTGCTGGCGGTGCATCATGCCTGTCGCTGTGTCGTGAGAAAAGCTTCCCCGCATCTGGTGCCCTGTGCATCCCATTGCATGCCGTCCCATGCCACTGCCCATCGTGCCCATCGTGCTGCCCATCGTGCTGCCCATCCCATCTGATCGCTACCGGGTCCGGAGTATCGCAAAGCCCATCATCCCGCAGCCCGCAACCTGCAGCCCGGCCCATGCTGACCATCCAATCCTCGTGCCTTGAATATCGCACACACACGGACACACGCTCACAGACTGCCAGCCCTGAGCTACTGTTCTCGAAACCCCGAGTGGGCAACCTCTCTTCCGACCGACTTCTCCCTTCTCTCCTACCTACCAAGCTGGGCCATCCTCGATCTTCATTCTTACTCCAACACACCTTTCCGTATATCCTTCCCTTGTGGATTGCATCTTCCTGTATATACTGTCGGTCACCGACATCAATCTCGTCGCCTGCTGTTGACTGCCCCCAATCCATCGCCATTGCCGTTGTCCGTTGGAGTTTCGCAGGTCCAGCTCCAGCTCCAAGCCTCCGCACCGAAGCCCTCCTCCTTCCCCGCTCCGAGTATAGGCAATAGACCGCCTTTCACAGTCACCCGCACGAGACAGGTCGGCGTCTACTCCCACAGAGTTGCTGGAGTTTGTTTCTGCCCGTCGTAAGTCATCCCCTTTCTCTGCCCACACGCCTCTTCCAGAACAAACCTTGAACACGCAAAGCCTAGGAATGCGGCGTGACCACAAGTAGAGACAACTGCTAACAGAGCATGCGCCAGCTAAGATACGAGCTCTCCTCGGCCTGGTTCTGTGTGGGCTAACCTCACCTCATCTCACCTCTCTCCTCTCCTCCTTCTGGCGCAATGTCTAGTAGCACCGCCAACCGGATCAAGGAAGGCGCTCGATCGGCCGCCACAAAGGTTGAAGAAGCAGCCAGCGAGGCCGTCAACAACCCTGTCCAGGCCAAAAATGACTTCCTCCACCTCCCTGTCGTGCGCGCCGCTCTCCCCTTTGTCAATGGAGGTCTCGCAGGCATGTTTGCAACGGCATGCATCCAGCCCATAGACATGGTCAAAGTGCGCCTACAGCTAGCGGGCGAGGGCGTGAAGACAGGCCCCAGGCCCACGGCTTTGGGAATCACAAGAGACATCATTGCTCAGGGGAAGGTGCTTGATCTTTACAATGGTCTCTCAGCTGGTCTGTTGAGACAAGCCGTCTATACCACCGCAAGACTGGGCTTCTTCGATACCTTCCAGAACATGCTGCAGGCACGCGCTGAGAAGAACGGCACAAAGGTCACATTCGCCGAGCGAGGCGCCGCTGGCCTTGCAGCCGGTGGTTTGGCTGCCATGGTCGGCAACCCGGCCGATTTGGCACTCATTCGGATGCAGTCTGATGGCTTGAAGCCCAAAGAAGCCCGCGCAAACTATAGATCAGTATTTGATGCTTTAACTCGCATTGCCAAATCCGAGGGCATCACTGCTCTCTGGGCTGGAGCGTACCCCACCGTCATCCGCGCCATGGCTCTCAACTTTGGTCAACTCACATTCTTCGCCGAATCCAAGGCTCAGATCAAGCATTATTTCCCCGACATCTCGGAATCGACGAACCGATTCGGCGCATCTGCGATTGCCGGCTTCTTCGCATCCTTCTTCAGCTTGCCGTTTGATTTCGTCAAGACGCGGTTGCAGAAGCAACAGAGGGGTCCTGATGGCAAGCTTCCCTATAACGGCCTCTTCGATTGTGCGAAGAAGGTCATCCGTGACGAAGGTTGGCTACGATTTTACCGTGGATTCGGCACCTACTATGTTAGAATTGCACCGCACGCGTAAGTCCCAAACCTCGCTAGAAACTTTCGCAGGCTGCTGACGTTGAATAGGATGATCACCCTGATCGTTGCTGATTACCTGAAGTTGATCACCGCCTGAGTCGATCGCCCCGAAGCCATGGTTGGAAAGAGTCCCCATCGTCGAGTTATGTCGGACAGGAAGGTCAGGAAGCGGTTGTTTTGGAGGGGAACCAAGGAATGAAAGAAAGAAAGAAGACATCAATCGTCAAAAGAGGGGGTTAGAGAGGTAGTCACCATGGTGCTCAGAACACTGTTCCGGGCTCATGAGCCCGAATATCGCTCGATCTCATGGCTCAGGTCAAAAGATACTTTATGGCAGGTCGACAATCTCTGACAAATACCTCTGAGACAAGGGCGCACTCTAGCAGATGTCATATAGAGCACAAATCTAGCATCCTTTGGGCGTTGATAGGTAGTTAATCAGGAGGACTTGTTAATAGATGATGCGAAATCAACGACTCTGTCAGGCAAAAAAATTGGTATTTCGTCCGTGTCCGTCACCTCGGCGGCTTTTGAATTGCCGACAAACAGGCAACTATTCCGACTGGCACATCCCTGTCCGATCGGGTGGCCTGCACGCACTGCGCCGCCTTCGAAAACGCAAACTGCGGAGTTCCAAACCAGATCCTCTGTGAAGATTCGCACCAAAAATCTAACTGCGCGACCTTCTTCGGCTACAACAACGACTATGAGTGTCTGCTGTCAGCATGAGCGCCTCGTTACTCTTACAGCTCGTCCTCACCGGCACTCAGACTCACTACGAAAGCCCCGGGTTGATCGATGAGAAAAGACTGGAGCACCTGTTGATCGCCGGTAAACAAATTCTCTACAAGTCACATCAAGAGAGCGATGTCCGATCTGCGCTGGGATTCAACCCGCGAATATGGGAGGGCTTGACAGCGGTGCTGAGATACGCCCTCCCGGCCATCGAACGACGATGCTTCCCCTACAGAAACCCTTCACAAGGCGGCTTTGGCGGCACCGGTGCCGAGCTCATTGCCGTTAATTACGTGGATCTCGTCAAGGACATCGAACGACTCAACGATCTATGCACAATTGCGCGCAATCTCCTTGCCACCACCAAAAAGGCGCAGAATCTCGCGGCTGAAAAAGGGTTCGACCAACATATCCTGAGGCTCATCGATGACTGTGTTAAGGTCACAGCTCGGGGCTTCGATGGTGGGTCAAACCCTCGGAACGAGGAGAAATGGCAAAAGGTGGTCAATTTGTTTAAGAGGCTGTTGATCACCTGCCTGCAGTTTCTGCACAATTTTATCATGCACAATGAACAGCGGAAACTGGTGCTGTGGCTGGATCTATTCGGACAGTCCCAAGTGAGTGAGGCGGCTGATGATCAGGCCAGCAGCCAACAAGAGCAGCAGAGGACCGCCGAGGATGAAGGCAAAGATCACGCTGCGAAAGAAGACAGAATCAGGTCAACCGTGGAGAGATTGCCGCGACGAGTGGGCCGGCTTGCAACAGATGGAGATGACCCCGGGTACAGCATCGACGATGTCCATGCCCTGTTCGATCTGATGAGCACCAACAAGGAGCCCGACGAACAGACTCAAAAGGGGGCAAAGGTGCTCATGGACAAGATCAGGTCTGACATGGAGACTCTGTCGGGTATGAACGCGAATCAGCTTGACGATAGCCCAGATGTGCTGCTGAAAGTGGGAGCTGAACTGCGTGCTTGGTTACAGACCAAGGAAGAAGCCGCTACCAGTGAGGGTCATTCTTCGCAGGTCAAGCAAGTGGCTGAGAAGATCATGGCTCTAACCCATGGCAATGGCTACAACAAACCCGGTGGCAAATCTCACTGGGGCGATCTCCCAGAGCCTGGTTCCTATGGCGACCTGAATGAACCCGCCCAGGATCTGACAGAAGAAGACTTGAGCATGCCACGAACCGCTCAGTCCGCAGCTGCGACATTAAAAGAAGCAAAAGACGAACTCATGGCCCGGTTGCCACGATCGCCGGTCATGCGCCCGCCGCCCTTGAGAGAGTACGACGGCCCGATATACCCTTACGTTGACACTGACGATGAAGACGACGAAGAATATGAACTTGAAGACGACGACGAGGACGACCTCATCAGCGTTGGAGATAGTATGGAAGACGATGATTACCGCGGATCCGGAGACCAAGAACGCGGCCTCCTCACCGACGTCCCACTTGTTCTTGGTCCGACCGAAATCGAAGCACTACCCATGATCATCCAAGCAGGCATCGTGGATAATTTCGGTTCGAAGAATGGCACCACTGCGCAACAGCAGGGTCTGAAAAATATGCAAGCGGTTCGCTGCCATATTTTGCTAGCTCAAGAGGCAGGGCGTAACGTTCTGCGGGAATTGTTGATTTTCATCGCCGCGTGGGATTTGCCGGACGATGAATTCTACTTCAAAATGATGGTGCAGATCATGGAAGCTATCCTGAAAAACGGGCTAATGTCCCACGCGTACGCCGACTTTGGGCAACCCAAGGACATCATTTCTCCGGCGCAAGCTGTCGTTATCAAGATCCTCACACACATCTTCCGTGCGAAGTATAGTCCTCCGTCGACCGCGCAGCAGCAGCAACTGAATGGATCGGGTGAACAACCGCCTGCAGCGCAACAGCAGCAGAAGGCTCGCTTGAGTCCCTCCCCGCTCAGTCGCGTGGACGTGCTCACCGTCCGTTACATTTTCATCGTGTTTCGAGGCAACATCATCCCTGAAACCTGTGCCCTCATCTATCTCCAGGGTCAAATTCGTGCCGGCCTCGCGCTAGCAGAGGATTTCCCACTGAACTTGTGGGACATGGAACGGGTGTACGAAGGCGTCTACCAGTTTCTGGAATTTTTTGCGGTGTTGACGGAGAATAATGATTGGAAGAAGCTGCTGGTGCAGTGGGAGATTGTGTATGATTTGGTGACGCTAATAAAGGAGCTGGATCAAAGCATTGCGAAGGTCGGGTTGACGCAGGCTATGCCTCCTCCGACAGATGCGAACGGGAATACGAAGGCGACAACGAATGGAAATGAACCGCAGGGTACGACCGGAGGTGGACCTCCAGGGCAAGCATCAACGCTTCCTGCTCACGTTGCCGTCGAAAGACCGTATGATACTGCCATCTCGGCCCAGGAACCTGTGCAACAGAATGGCACCTCAACAATCGCCGAATCGCTCCCACAACCACCAACCGATCTACCTTCAGCGTCACCCCCGGCACAAGCTCCTCCGGCGGCAACGACTGTGACCGAGGAACCCGCAGATTTCGAATGGCGGAATCTCAAGAAACTCATTGTGCTGGTGTTGTCGAGTCTGGTCTGGAAGTCCCCGACGGTGCAAAATCAGATCCGCGAGTATGGTGGGGTGGAGACGATCCTGAGTTGTACAACCTACGATGGTACGTGATCAATCAACCATTCCATTCTCTGCTCTGCGGATAATTATTGTTATGCAGAGAAATGGCTTGCCCCATACGAGATGTCCTGCATGGTCTTTCACTATTCTATTTTGCTGACGGTTTGGGGACTATGTAGCGTGCAACCCGTACATCAAAGAACACGCGGTGATGTGTCTCAAATTCCTGTTGGAGAATAACCCGGAAAACCAAGCGCTTGTTTCGTCGCTCGAGGCAAGGGAAATTGTGCCCCCACCTGGTGAGGATGCAGAGATTGTGAGAGAGACGACAGAGAGGCTGGGACTGGAGGTACGGCTGGGGAGTGATGGGAGGGCGAGGGTTGTCCGGAGAGATGGCGCCCAAAGTCTCCCGGCGAAAAGGGACAACCCGAATACGAACACGAGGAGCGGGAGCACGAGCGGGACTGGGAGGATTGAGGAAGTCGGACATGGCTATGATGAGATAGAAGCCTTGGGATTACCTGTTAATGGAAGCGAGGCTGCGGCTGAAGCAAAGGATAAGGACAAGGGCAAGGGTAAAGAGCGTGCGGTGGATCCGGATGACCAGGAGATTGAGTTCATGTAATGATCATCCCTGCATGCGTCTTCGATAGAGGATGAGATCAGACTCCGGAGAGGGGACTAGATACTATATATAGGTACCTACCTACCTGATGATAGAGTAGAAAAAAGAAGAGGCTATACGAAGTTGGTGGTCACTCCGTCTATATATGTGCATATATATATCGCACACTGGTACACGAGTACAGGAGTATGGTAATAAGGTCCCAAGATAGGTAGCGAGTTCCATATTGGTTTGATCCATTTGGATTTGCTACGTATGGAGTACTTAGTACCTAAGGGTAGGTTCATGTTCTGTACCGTGCTGTAGCATATCGCTCCATAGAGCTGAGTAAGTGTAAGTATAAGTGTAGGGGCACTCCGATTAACCTTCTCAAGTCAGGTAGTAAGCATCTCTCTGTCATGATCTGTGCCTACATGTGTAGTTGTGTGTTTTGTCTTGTGTATTTGTATTCTGGCTATCTGACCGTCTGCCTCTTTGGATGTACTCATATGTGCGCTGGAGGCTGCCCTCGTCGTCTATATACACAAAGCTAATCACGCCGGCCTCCCCGTAGAAGAAAGAAAGTACTCGCTGTATAGCCTCCCACCTGCCGCCCGCGCCTATCCGAGGACGTCACTTCTCAGCGTGTAAGTGCCATATCGATGAACGAATGGACAGGTCTGGATAGATCTAGATATATGACATCCGCGAGACCAGACTGGCTCCGGAGCTGCAGGATTGATGCCCCTGCCCCACCCCGCCAGAAATCCTTAAGATCGTCTTAACAACCACTGGCAAATTGGATACCTCGACCCGGGCATGCCTATTCCCCTGCAGCCTGTCGTGGAGCAGCGCACGAAGCCCGCCGGGGGCGGTAGAGGAGGCTTGGCTGGTGGGTCTCTCACTTTTTCTGGAGGAGGATCATTGGTCGTCATTTTTCGTTGTGTTCGTCCCCCTTCCGCTCTCTCTTCTCTTTGTCACACTTATGGGGGTGGGATGGAAGGGTAAATTGACTCCCTGGGCTGTATATAACTATGGAGGAGGATGGGTGGGATATAATGGACGGGTGAGTGGATAAGACGGAAGAGTAGGATGCGGGAGGTTAGAGAGAGGGAATCACTTTGAAGAAAGTCCTTAGATCAGGTCTCTCTCGTAGGTCTTGTTCCAAGGAGTGTTCTTTTAGTTTAGAGGTTGCTGTATTCGTATATACTCATTGAAATGCAAGATGGTACAGAATGAATGAATATCCAGAGTGGATGGAGGAGTGAATGAATGCAAGGGTTTGGGAAAGAGACAGAGCGGATATTTGTACCCTTTGAAGAAAGGAAAGGCCTGTTTGCAAGGCCGTGCTCTGCGTTTGAGGTGAGCGTCTGCCTTCTAAGAAAATGAGAGGAACCACCCGATTGATATAACCGTTTGGATACCCATTCATGCTCAAACGATCCAGGTATACTCGAGTGCTGCAGAGGCATCCCTGTTGATGGCGAGCCTGAGCAGTCTCAGGAAGGGTTCGTAGATAGAGGGAACAAAACGTGAAGTTTTGTGGGGAGTCATGACTGAGATCAGTCTTCATCCCTGATGAAATAAAGTCAATCCACTGGCCTGGTCCCCGGGTGATACTGGCAACAGGGTCATCCAGGTCGCGAGGATGCGCAGCAGCAATATCGACGACAGACCAAAGTCATTGACATCGCCGGCTTGTCGTTCCGACTTCTCAAAAACGGGACCCTCAGAATATAGACACTCAAAAGCGGTAATGAAATTTGTCCTTGTTGAACTGAGGGGGCCCATAAAAGGTTGGTTGATTAAGAAATCTCTCTGGAGTGAAAAGGCGGGTTCAAATAGGCCACAGCTTGGCGTGCCAAGACTGTTTACCATAAGCCTAATTAGGCTAGTGCATCACCCCTCATGGTTTATTTCCCCTCCGCAAATTCCATTCCAACATGTCTATGAGTTTGTCAATCAACTATCGGACACGTCGCAATATTGGGCCCATTGCACGAACGTTGTCTTCGCTAATCTACCCCATTTGGCACCGTGCTAGAGCTCCCGTTTCGGGTGCTTTCATCCCTTGGATGCTCCAACTCCAACAAGCTGGTCAGCAGAAGTTGCCAAATGCTCTGCTCCTAAGGCACTCATGGCTTGCCGCATTGCGCGCTGAGCTTCTCATCATCCCTGCGAGAGGTCAATCGTGGCCTGAAAGCCAATATCTGCCCCCGTGCCGCGTTCAAGGGTAGACACTGAAATCCTTGGCCATCCAGGCCCATCTCAGGCTTACGTTCTCTAAGTTCTCGCGATTAATGAAGTTCTAAACTTCATCTCTCATCCGGAAAACATCAGTCGCCCCCAAGTGTGTTCTCGGACATTTGGTGAAGCTTCGGCCGTGGAATAACATATCAGCCTCAACTCATCGACGGAGAGATCACTGTTGTCTACTGGAATGACCAATCCTCTGCCGATATCCATATTCCAGTACATAGGCGCCCATCCCAATTATCGCGCACAGTATCCGTCTCCATCATGAGGATTGCAGCGTCCCGGTTGCTCTGAGGCAAGGTGCCGCCCTTCCAGCAAGGCGTGTTATCCCAATTCTCGGCAAATTTTCACAATCTGAGGGCTTTCCAAGATGCTTAGAGATGGGTGAGATGTCTCCTTCTGGAACACAAGTGCGGATGAGATGCATCTCTGGCACTTCAACTGGGACGTATAGCAGCGCTTCGTGGAGCTTCATTTTCCCGTAGCAGCAGATTTTGACGCCGCGCATTGCCGTACCTGTACGGCTGTGGTCCAGAGGATCAGCGATCTCTCGTACTTGAGAACTGTTGTACATCCCAAAGTAGTCTATGATGTGCTGGAAGTCCGACAAAGTAATGTCCTCGTGAAGATCATTCGAGATCTCCTGCATTGCAACAACAGGGCCGCACCAACGGTGAGCTACTGGGTCTGTCCCGGATAACTTGATTGAGTTCTGGATACTGCGATTGATAGTAGAACCATCTATCGAGAAGGCTTCTCGCAAGCATAGGAAGCTTGAGTACCCCTCTTGAATCCCCAGACTGCCTCCCAGGAGCCTAGATTCCTACCACGTCTCGACATTCCGCTGAATGTAGGCAGTGCCAATGGGAGGATCGTCCGTTCCGAGGAGAGTATGAACGTCAATGGTCTCGTATTCCTCTTGCCATCCATCGTCTCCCCACCGAGAGAGCCTTGAGGCCACGCAACACGCAGGCAAGTAAGGGTTTGGCCTCCTTTTTGGGAAAGATGATTACACGCTCCTGAGCAGGACATGGCCGAGGAGCCTGGCTTGACATATCTTTGTGAAGAAGTCTGTGGCAGGCCGAGTCACTCTTTTGACATCTGCGAAAACAGTAATGACAAGCTTTTACATCGAGTACAAAGTTCGGCCGGCGATGTGTTGCACATTACGCAAGAGTCATAAGGATCGATTGCTCAGCGACTGAATTGGCTGGTCTGGTGATCGAGACTTGTCCATCCTTAGAGACCAGAATCGTCAGCTCAGACAGAGACAATCCATGTGATGAAGGACTTTTACATTATGCGGCGTCCTCTTCGAAGTGATTTTTGACGCTCTTCCACAGACTTCACCTCTCGTTCTTTCACGGCATCCTTTTCAAGGACGAACTTGGAAGGTTTGCCACGACGGTTGATTAGGGAATTTTAACTGGAGACTGCTCTATTGAGCCAATCTGGGACTCTAAGTTGATTGATTGGTTGAAAAGGAAGACAGGTTCTGTGAGAGAAGAGACTGCAGGTACCCTCCTCGCCGAGTCGCCCAGCAGGTGGAATAGATGCCAAGGTTGCCGCAGTGCCAAGAGATATATTGCCTAACCTGATCTGTACAAGCCCGGCCTCCCCCAGAACCGACCTTTCAGATGGCTCTTAACTCGAGAATCAGATGTTCTATAAGCTCTTCGAGTGCGATGCCAATTTTGCCAACTTCGAAAACGGCAATTCCAACACCGGATACCAGATGCCATGTCTTCCTCGAATGGACTTAAGGTGAGGTACCTCGGGACATACCCTGCTCGGGCGCGGATGATAGTATTTCCGCAAATGCTCAAAATACTACGAATCAGCAACCTCGCCATGAGAGTTTCCACTTTGGTGGCTTTCAGCCGCACCGAGACGGTCATCCCTCGCAACCCCAATCCTTGCTGCGGATTTTCAGACTTCCTTAACTGCATCAACTACCTGGTCCCAGCCTTTGGACGGCAACAGTAGGTCAAAAACACAATCAAGAAATTTGGAGCCCATGCTTTTATCGGAACCTGTAAGATCTGCCCACTGGTCCGTCTCTACGTCCGATTCACTTCCATCTCAATCTGAGTCTTTCCCCTCATCAGTCTCGGACAACGGGATCTGGGTGACCGGTATGGCTCTGTTTCCCAGTCAGATAAGACAAAATGTGCGCTGCCCAGACAACATGAGTGATGCCTTCATCGTATTTGTAGTCCGGAGCATATTTTGATATCGGATAATCCGTTCTGTCCTCAATGGTTCAGGATCATGAGATCTTGAGTGCGTATCCTTGGGAGGTCGCTCGGAGGTTTGAGGGTGGGAGTGTGACTCAAGGGTCAGTGGTGTGCACGTTCCCACCGATTCAGCCTCGTATGATGCAATTAGCCTTCGGGAGTGGCATTAGTGCCGTGTGGCCGACACCTCTGGACCAATAGCAGCCCTCATACATCAGCACCGCCCCAGCTAGCTGCATTAGCTCAAACTCTAAGGTTGCAGGCCACATCTCACCCCGCGCTTCCCATCAGACAAAAAGACGCTTATTCCCTCCAGCCTTGTCGCCTGAACTTCGTCCTCTTCCTCTACCTCTCGTAGCATCCTTCTCTCTTCTTGCTTGCCCTTTCAATCTAGCACTATACCTGAGTTCGCTCCGCACCTTTCTAACGAGTCCTCTCCTCCCTTTCCCCAGCCTACCACCTCATCACCTTAAGAAATTCAGCCAATTAAGCTCTCACCAAAGCTCACTTCACCCAGCCCCCTCTCAATGCCACCTTTCTCTGACGGTCGCATCTGAATCTGCAAAGACGTACTTGAGCGTACGGCAACGATCCGCCTCCTCATGTTACAGCACGAGATGACTTCTGGACCGGTTCCAGAAGTTGACTGGCTTCCAAGAATTGAACTCTTTGCAGAAGTTGAGCCGAGCTCCATCACCGCAGCAGTTGGGCCCATTGTATCAGGCAGTTGTGTTTTTACAGATTTTCTTTCTTCAGAATGGTATGGTGGTCAGACGGGATTTGGAAAGCTATGTATGATCGTAACTCAAACAGTCTCGAAGCAAGTCCGCCTAGCATTACTAACCATTCATTTAGGCATGCACATCTCATTTCTACACCGCAAATTCTCGGAACAATTGTCCCAAAAACTGTCCCCAAAAATTTCCCAAAAATTTGAAAACCAAAAATTTGAAGACGAACCACCAAGGCTCTTGTCGTCGGAAAGCACGGCTCCAAGCAACAGTCTTTTAACTGTTCTTGAGCTTCGCCGGTCAGTGCAGTCATTTCTACGGTATCACCGAGACACCGGAAGATTGCTGTCAGTACTGCCAATCATTGATGGACATACGGTTGCTGATAACTCCAACAGTGATATTCACCCTCTATCCTTAGTTAGGTGCTGCCGCCAATGCGCCGGACCTTCCAAACTAGGTGCCAACGGAGATGCAGATATCTCTCAGTTAGACTCTCTCCCCCCCCGGCACCTGGGCTATCACTATGACAGAGGAGACAGAGATCCAATGAATTGCCCTGAAGTTCCCTCACGCAATGCATGGGAGGAAAAAGTTGATTGTTCGAACTGTCCCAGAAATTTTCTTCCACATGGAGGCAGAGTGAAAGACAATTCGAGATTGACGACCTTCCCACTGCACTACATGGTGCGCCATCGAGCACGCAGTCGCAGCGTGGAACAATGGCGCCCCATCAATCCTCCTCTATGAGCCCCCACAAACTGCAAGGTCACGCCCGTACCGAAACGCAGGAACCACCACACATTTTCTACCCCCAAGGAGCGACGTGTCAGCCCTTGGAGACTGCATTACCACTACAACAATATCACGCTCAACAAGTACATCATCTACCCTGGGCCCTTGTGGCCCAAAGCCCGAGTATGCACATCACACAATCAACACCTCCTCTGTCCTTCGATTCATCACCCGACCAAAACTCCGAGATGGGAGGCTCGGCACTAGACTTTGACATTTTAAACAATCTCAGCTATTTGGACGACTTTGAAGGTAACAGCTACGGGAACTTCGACTACAACAGCTACGGCGGCTTCGAGTACGAGAGCTACGACGACTTGGTCTTGTTTCCAACAGACCAAAGTTTCATCCAACCGCCATTCACCAATGCTCATATGTTCCCAGCTCTTGACTCACTGTCGCCGCCAGACAGTCTTGTTCCTTTGCCTCAACATAAATATTGCTGCGCTGACTGCACAGAGTCCTTCGCACGCCGATGTGAACTCACGCGGCATGAATTCAAGCATACAAAACCATTTCAATGCCCGCAATGCCGCCGCCCCTTCGCCGAGAAGCGACGCTGCATTCAGCATGTTCAAGCAGTGCACGGCCTGGCGACGGAGAAGGACAAGGTCAAGTGTCATTTGTGCCAGTACGCCCGCGTCCGGCCGGACGCGGTGAAGAGACATATGAGGCTGAAGCATGGGGTTGGCGAGAAGTCCGATTGTTCGCCTTCCACCATAGGATCAGGAGAGCAATCTGGTGCAGAGGATCGACCGCGGAAGGGGAGGAAGTGAAGGGAGGTTTGAAGAGAAAATGAATGGCATGGTAGCAGTGCTGACGTTATTTTTTTCTCTCCTTTTTTTTGGGATCTCAGTCTTCATAAAATGGGCTAGGGGATTGCGACTGCTTCATGGGCGAAGGGTTGAATGTATTTTAGACACGAGTAGCCAGCATCTTGAATTTTAAGTGCCTTTATACCCTCTGCGTATCTGGACCGAGCGGCGCTTCTACAAGATTGCAGCTTGTATCGGGAGAGTGGACCTAAAAGCAGTCCTCAGACATGGCTGAAGGTCATTGAAGTGCCCTTACATCTTTGAAGGGGACAGAGATTCTGCCCAATATTTGCCGCGATGATTACAATACAAGGGACATGCTTATAGTTTTTTGAAGCAGAAAGACTACGCTAGCTGGCCCAACGACGTGTATATCGGGATAGGTACATAGGATGTTATGAAATTTAAAGCGTAGAGCAATACTTGTTCCCCGTCGCTTTTCAGCGAGAGTAACGCGGCCAAAGAGAAGCCCAATTTTCTGAATGTTTTCTGCTGATTTGGGCTAGCGATACCCGTTATAGGCGTGTCAACGTCGTGTGAATGAGTCAAACTAGTCATTTAAGTTGAGCACCGTCAAAGCACCCAATATTTTGCAGCGTCTTGTGCGCGGCGGTCGTGGTGTTAAGCGGACCAAAACTCGCAGGAAATTCACCATGGAAGCTGGGTGTCGTCATATCTCCACAGGCGCACCTCGTCGTCCACAGTTGCCCGGTCTATAATCTTCATCATGCCCTGAATACTCTCGGCGGGCTCGATCGTGCCGAGTCCGATTCTGCTTGCGAGCGGAGCGACAGTCTCGGTCGCCACGACGCCCGGGTGCATGGGGAAGGCGACGATGCCGTTCTTCTTCTCCTCGTACGCAAGATGCCGGATGAACATGTTCAGCGCGGCCTTCGAGATGGCGTACGCAGACGACTGGCCCGGCAGATCCTCCACCATGGCGAGCGAGCCGTACTGGGTGCTGATGGCCACAAACTTGGGCGTCCCGCCCTGCCGGGCCGACTCTAGCATGAGCGGCCGCAGGGCCTTGAAGATGGCGATGTTATTGAGCAGGTTGACGTCGAGGAACTCTTGATACATGGACATCGGCGAGTCCGCGATGCTGGTCTCGTGGTGGATGATGCCCGCGTTCGCAACCACGACGTCCACCTTGCCGGCGATCTTCTTGACCACCTCAGCCGCCTCTAGCGCTTCGTTGACCGATTCGGGCTGCTTGGTGATCTTCACAATGTGCACGTTGCCCTTGTCGGTCAGTGCTTGGAGTCGAGTTGCGCGCTCCGGGTCTCGAGATGTCGCGAAGACTATGGCCCCGGGGCGCTCCCTCAATTGGCGAACGAATTCATATCCGAGACCCTAAGTCGTCCCAATGTCACATCAGCGAGCAGATCACAGCTGCAAAACTGGTGGATCACAACTTGCCTGCGTCGTCCCCGTAACAAAGTAAACCGTCCGATTCGACATTTGTTCGAGCCTCGGGTCCAATCTCTTTTCTTGCAGGCGAGAATGAGTGGACGAAGAGAGCGAGAAAGACTGAGAAGGTGAGGAGAACTTACCTTTCTTTCTCCCCTCGAGAAAGGAGACGTAGGCGGAGGAGTGATTAGCTGATGGATAACCTACTCGATCAACCAGTATTTACCCCCTTCCATCAACTAACTCGACCAAGATATATCCCCCCAGACCCCTGGTATGCCCCATACCCCGCTTTTCGCTCTCAGGGATCGTTCAAAGTCCCCCGCAATCACCGAGGTGGTGGAGGCATGGAGGAAAAGATGTCCCCGCCCCTCTGGGTCCGAGGTGCTTCCGTCCGCCAAAGAGGAACCAGAAACTGCAAGGGAGGAACGTAGCCTTGAGAGTGGCGCCTATGATATGTGGTCGCTGAGGCGAACGATGGTTCCTTGGCGCTGTCAGTGTGTTCCTCGTCTAACTAGCCATCGACACCGGCATCGGAGAGGGATTCATCCGATCTTTCGTTGAAATGACCAGAATACCAGCGAATCAAAGAGGGACAGAGACAGCTTCAGGGAAGATTCCAGGAAATTCAGGAGAACAGCGTCAATTTGGACTATTTTCTCCAGACCCGCTCAAAGTGGGTGTCATCGTTATCTCCCAACAACGCCAGATTTCGAAGTCAAAAACACCATGAACGTCACGAAGACGTTGTGTCAACTACCTAAAAAAGCAGTACCCCGATTACAATTTTCCCCAACTATGCATCATACCAAATCTTTTCATAAATCCATCACAATGAATTCTACCTGCCGACACGCATGCACTTAGGCGATTTCAATCAGACCAGGTCCGAACTTGGTCGCGGCGGCAACATCAGCGACGCTGGCGAATGGGCCGGATCCCTCGACAACGGCAGCAATGGTCAATCCAAACATCTCGTTCTTGGTGAAAGGCAGGTTTGCGGAGAAGGTGACGGTGCTGCCGCTGACTGTGGCTTGGGTGATTGGCTCGACGACAGGCACATTCTGTTGGTTGATGTACACCAAGCTCAGGCCTTGGTAGTTGTTGGCGTACTGGGAGTATGAACCGGTGGCGGAGAAGGAGAACTGCAGTGTCTGGTCTTGGGGCTGGATGTTCTGGGTCAAGACGTTCAGGGCACCGAAGATGGGAAGGTTGATGGTGTTGCTGTTAGGGCAGGAGCCTTGGACAACGAAGCCTTGGTTCAAGGCGGAGAAGGCAAACTCGCGGGTAGAGGCGGTCAAGAAGGGAGCGCCGCTAGGGATGAGACCAAGCAAGTTGCGATAGAAGCCATTCTGCTCACCCTCTTGACTCATGACGGCACCGACACCGCGGATGAGACCGTTGTCACCGTTTTGGCCGAAGTGTGTTTGGACATCGCCAAGGGTGCCCAAGACGACGTCAGTGAACGTCTTGGCAAGCCCGATGGCGCTCTTGAAGTCAGAGACCGGGGCGACATATTTGCAGGGTTGGATGGGGCCGGCGTTGAAGTGAGCGAGGGCGCCATTGGCGTTCAAAAGGTGCAGCTCCTCTTGGGCTTGGACGGCCGTAATGGCGTCAATGACGGTTTGTCGCTGGGACTCGTCCTGGAACTGGTAACCCGCAACGTTGTGGGTCACATTGTAGAGGAGCTCAGTGAAGAAGGCGACCTCCCAGAGCTCGTTGAAGGCAATGAGTCTCAGCGATGTGAGATCATCAGCGGCGGGAGCAGTTGGCGGCGGGGGTCCGTTGGGCAAGAGACCATGGGCCTGCGCCTCAATGGCAGTGAGTTGATCAGACGGGTTCTGGATGTTAGGGAAGCCATTGGACAGAGGGAAGCTAAATGGGTTGCTGCTGCCGTCGCTGGAGCCGGAGCCGCCACCACCGTTGTGACCACCGTTGTAGCCGCCAGAATAGCTGGCCGGAGGGGCGCTGGTGGAATAAGAACCGCCGCCGTAGGTCGCTGATGGGGTATAGTAACCGTTGGCAGGTCCGCTGTACGAGGCGGAGGGGGCAGCACCATTGCTGTTCTGGTAGTTTTCGAGGTGGGACCCGCGGCCGCCAAACCAGATACCATTATCACGCTTCTCAACGTCGACAGGGACGGCCGAAACGAGCGAGGCAAGGGCCAAGGAGCCGAGGACTGGTGCCAGCTTGGAATACATTATGAATATGATGCGATTTGGTAGTGAACGTGTATTCAACGATAGGAAAGAGGAAGAATTATGGTGAAGATGCGAATGCTTGTATAAGCGAAAGAATGTGTTGAAAAGAAGGAAGCCGAGTTGTTAATGTAGTAAAGAATGAAGCGTTGTTGTATGAGTGAGACCTAGCACCAAGCGAGAGCCACAGCTGAATATATAGACGACGTGCGTCAGAAGGGAGTGGGAAGGGACTACTCGGTATACGGACCACCGTGTGACAACCCAGCATTCGCCGTATCTGGGGGCTAAGTTAAGCAACCGGCGAGGCAAAGCTTGAGCTGCAAGCTAAGACGTGCCACATAGCGCAGAAAGAGATTGGCCATTGCTGACGAGGTTGGGTCCCGGGCGGCGCTGCGGTGATTTGGTGCTCGATATCTCATCCTCGACGGTATTGTGCTCACCGACCACATGGCCTCCATTTGGAATCGCTCTGTTACCCGCAGCCCAGTTATACTGCAAGGAGGAGGAAGAAAAAGAAAGGAGGATTCATCTCTTGCCAGACAAATTTTCCATTCCCACGTCACACGGCAGTTCCGGCACATCCTCAATCTCGTTGCGGGCAGCGAAACCGCGTGGAAATGGCAAGGACCTACCTGTACCAGGTGCTGTCAGCGGGGGGCGTTCGCAGCTAGACTGCACAGGTGCGAACTACGGTGCGATCCAGGGACAAAGCAAATACCGCAAGAAGACCAAATCTGGAGTGTGTAACCTGTGCCATGGGGAGCAGCAACCGGCTCGGGAAATTTTTCTTCATGGTGCAGACGGTCAGCGCTTGCGCAGATCGGGCTATGGCGGTGATTGCGATAGACGAGATAGGCTTAGTGCTGATGAACCTCGATCTGAGAGTTTGGTGGTGATGAGGATGACAAAGGGTCGCGCTGAAAATAGGGAGCGAGGTCTGCGTTGGCGGGCGGCTGAGCTGCGCACAGAGTCCCTTTGGATAAACGAGGTGCGAATCAGCCAATCATCGCAGAGGTCAAGAGAAACCACACTAAAAAAGGCTTGACCAGTGCAAGCAGCCTCGGCATCAAAGCTTGGCCCAGACTGGCCTTGTAATTGGGTCGCTGGAAGAGAGGGGCTCCACGAGCTCTATTTTTATCCCTAGTATTAATAACAGTAGCCGCAGCACACTGACCTCATTCCTTGGTACTCACCAAGTCACCTCCACCGCCAGCATTAGGTTGTGACCCTCTGGATCCAGCCTAGTGCTGTGGCTCATACGGAGTATTACAGCACCCCCGTCCTATTCTCTACTCCAGGATCATACACAACCCTTGCCCATCAGACCAAAGAATCCGCCTTCTCGCTCCGAAGTTTTCGAAATTGAGATCGCCGTCATTTTGGCTTCTCGCCTCTCCTACCAAAGCGGTAATAGCTTCTATCCCCATATTACATTAACAGGGACTTTGTTCAGCTGGTTTTATGCTTCCCCGCAAACAGACAAGAAAACCACGCAAAAGCTTAACTGTGACTCGGCTAGAGAGCGAAGTCACATCAAGGCCTTCCACGCCTATTCTACCCTACTGGCAAGCTTTCCAGCCTTCCAGTCATGCAACCGAGTGTGAATGGGCTCGGTATTCGCTGGCAAGAACGCTATACTGAATACAGAGACCTTTATTGCCATCGGGCTTACTCCCACATTGGCGACTAGTAACTATTGCTGATTTTCTACGGCGAAACCCCCCAAAAGTCCGCGTTCGTGGATAACGTCCGCATGGATGCCACCAGGAACCCGTCGTGAGGACCACGTGTCCCCATTGGGCTGTTCATCGGTCCCCCAAAGGAAGGAGTAATTAATTCTTACCCGAGTTCATATTCCCTTCGCAGCCGACGTGATTTCACTCTCCTGCGCTCATGCTTTCTGTTCGAGCTTTGGACAATGATCGCGAAGATCTCGTTCTTGACATGGCTTTTTTCGAATATGGGAAGGAGCAATCTCCATGCGGAGGGCCTTGCGTGGTCTCCCCTCAAAATCTATTCCCGGGGTTAGACGCCTTGCATGAACTCATCTGCCAACGAAGATCCATGAGATTAATGTCTCGGAGTGTTAGCACAAACAATGGAAGATTTGCAAAATTTTTCTAGACGGCGTCGGAACAATATGCGCAGACATGTCCTATCCCCTTCATGGCTCTCACGAAAACAACTCCGGGGACCGATGCTCCTTCGTCATCTCCACGGCCAGGTAAGCGTACCGGTCGTTGGCAACAGATGAAGAAACAAGAATAGAAACAGAGACTACAACCATACTGCCAAACTGCAGCCTTGCGGCCAAGTTGGTCTCCGACCGTGTGCAGTGGTGTTTATCCTCCGATCCTTGAAGCGAACAGGAGATCCGGAGCCACAGAAGAGGGAACGGGTTTGCCAAGGTTACGCACGTCCATTCCCCCTGGCCAAACCTTCTGTTTGTATTTGGTGCCCTGCAACCGAGACCAGATGGACAGCTGAACACACAGCCACGTTCTGTTTCCTGCACTGTGATGGGGGGCTAAAAAATTCTCTGTTTGAACTCGGAGAGCTCGTGGGGTCGAGGCCGTCGTGGCACTTGGTCGCTTGAGAGTTCCTTCACTGCCAACAATGCAAGTGATGGCGAAGACTTAGCTACTTGTCAATATTCCCTATGGTGATGGAGCAATCTGCAACAAAGCGGTCCCTTTCCGGCGTGTATCCTCTATGCTCTGTTAGAAGAGTGTCATTCTCTAAATGTTGGGATCACTGGGATACAGGGGATTGCTAATTCGATCTGCAGGAATCTGCGCACCAATGATTCTGAGCGGAACTCTGACGTTCACGTCCAAGAATATTCTTCGA